CTTCGACGTTCAGCAGCGTCACTTATCAGGGATTCTAGAAACGTGTCCTAAGATGAAAAATGAAAAGCGCCGCGAAATTTTGAATCACTGTTAAGAAGATCTGATATGGAATGAGTCTGTGTTTGCTGGGGAATCGGGAAACAATCTTGAACTTCAACCTGCACCCCATCCCAGTAGCTCCAGGGTATCATGTCAGAACATCGACGTGCCAAAACATCGACGAAATGAAATGTCGACATGTTCTGTCATCTCGATGTTTTGTCGCTTCGATGTTTTGGCGTCGATGTTTTGACATGGAACCGGATGCAGGTGGGAAAGAGGAGAAAATCAATGGAATCTCAACTGGGAATGTCACACATCTTGCAGCTGAGTAGCAGCAGAGAAAATAGAAGAGAAGCCCGTTGAGATTCCGCTGAATTTCTCCTCTTTCTCACAGCTGCACACCCAGCTCTTTCCCAACTGCATCCCAGCAGAGTGTCCTACCTGGGGGCTAGGTGAATGTTCTCTTGCGTGATTTCACGCCGTTGTCTCTAACACACATTTCCCAGTCTATGACTTTCAAGCATAAGCGTAACGTGGATGGAAAAAGTGGGGAGAGGGGGGGGGGGATACTGGGAACTCTGGGATACTGTTATGCATTTTGGGGTCCTTTCCTTCTTTTTCTTTTGGCTTCTTTTCTTGAAAAGTGGGGGGCACGTGCCCCCCCCCCCCCCTTGCCCCCCCACGCTATGCTGCAGCTTTCAAGTACAACACTTTTGTGCCTGATCTTAGTCCATATTTTGTTAAATACAGAGGTGGCAATCCTACAGTGTTTCCGGAATGACTTTAACCCCCATTAACATTGGCTTCATACTTTTCTATGGACCCGACTGGCGGCTCGGCAAAATAGTACTTCTTTAACTTTCAACAGATGTCGTTTCAAGCAATAGAGGCCTAATCGAGTCGTCAACTTCACTGTCACTCCTTACAGGCTCATGGAAGATGTCACAGGACCCGTCAAGGTTGTGACTCACATTGAGCTGGTGACCGTAGATGACATAATAAAGAGATGCAAGGTCACAATGAAAGTTTCGGAAGAGGTTTATTATTCCCAGAACAAACCGGCAGTGCAAGAGAAACTGTGCGATTGAAAAGCTTTTCCTGCAATAAAACTACGAATAATTTTTTTATTATTATAAAGAGACAATTATAGTTTGTCAAGGCTGACGTAAAAAATCCTGATATTATTGATATTAATCAATATTCAGTTACTGGTACGTTATCGAACATAAAATGAAGGAAGTGGCAGAGGGAACAGGTTTCATTTACATGGATGAATCCCCACATAACCTACATATTCGAAAAAATATTTGTTCGAGAAATCGTGTGGTACGGTAAGAGAATAACAATATAGTCATGTTTTTCTTGCACTCATAAATGATCCCTATCCCTGAAAATGTCCCGATCTCATAAAGAAGTCGTGGCCCATCTACCGAGAGAGAGACACATTCATTTGTGCCTTTACAAGCACCTCTTTGGTTATTTGTTTTTTAATGACAAGTGGTGCCAGATGGTACAGTTTTGGCCCGAGTCGATATGAATTCCTTCTACGTTTCAGATGTTTGCATTATACTAACCTTACTTTCAGATTAAGCAGGCAGCGCAACTGCCGTACATAAAACGGATCTTACGACTTGACCCACTAACACCTCTACTGTTACGCTTCTTGTCAAACTAGTTAGCGCGTCATTAGTAATGATGGTAAAAACAAGATGTCTCTCACGTCGCTGCAGGCAACAGCGCCACGGAGGGGGGGGTTAAAGTCAATCTGGAAACACTGTACGCTTCCTGCTGCGATGGCTAATTTTCCTTTATGTTAGCATTCACGAGAATGCTGAGGAAAATAATCAGGAAAATCCCTTAGGAATCAATGGCGAAACTATCTTCGCTGCTAAATGCAACGCGCATACTTGTACTTCTATCAATGTGCACTCTTGAACTCTTTCGTGATTTCGTGATGAGCTCACTCACCCATTTGATGCGAGCCATTGCTTTCTAAGAGCCTACTGACGCGAATGAAACTATTATTACCTTCAATCTAGCATTCAGATCAATTGGTGTTCAGTAGCTGTCGAGAGTCGAAACAACAGTAGTGTCAGTGTCCCAACAGAGGTGTGAACTCATTGCGAAATCAATGAATTTCGTAGCTCCGCTGAAGGCTCGCCCTGGCCACTGGCTATATTCAAGATTCAGGATAGTTAGTGATATCAAGAGGCGATTTCACTCATTTCGATATCACGTGTTGAGGTCGAGCGTTCCTTAATTTTAGGGTAGGCCTAACCCTCTTAAAGCTAAATATTTATGCATTTTTGGTTTTGTTTTTTGTTGTTGTTTTTTTTGACTATCCTAGTTGCATACTGTCTGGTACCTAACGTCAACATTGCCCCCCCTCCACCTTTTTGCCTGTCCATGAAAGCATCCAGTTTCTCCTTAAAGATAGTCACAGAAGGGGCAGCCACTACTTCGTCAAAAGTAAAGAATTCCTGTCGACCTGAGCCGCACCTGCGGTTTGCGCAACTTAAGTTACCTCTCGTTCTCTTGCCGCCATCAAACTGGAAAAACCTACCACACTCGACATTATCTATTCCATTAATTATCTTATACTATATACTATACACACTCGTGTCCATAGATGTCTTCACAAGCTCCATCGCATGCATGCGCAACAAAGCCCTGCAGACGACGCCTTTGACGTAGTACTGATGTCGCCTAAAAAGGTGAGTAGTAAATCTACGCTAATCCTGTCGGTCACAGCCCTGGTGTTTTTTACTCGTCAGTGGAGGCGTCTTTTCACCAGCCGCTCGCAGCTGCTGTCGAAAAAAGGCACCTCTCTCTGTTGGGGCTCGGCACGACCTCGTCATTAAATTACGTTGCCCTCCGGCAATCAGCTCTCAGCGGAACATAGCGAACTTCGAGAGCGCTAGATAGGCCAACACGAATGTGACGTCATGGGATGCTGTAAGGCTTCATAGCATCAGCAGAGCTGCTTATTGAGAAAACGCACGCAGTGATTGTGATTGTGCATTACTGTCGTCTGCTAGTAGAAGTCTTCCCTTGCCATTGGTCGATAACCTACCTGCGGCATGGTGGATCGCACATTCCATGCTTGTGATTTTATTAGCGGTCTGAAGTTATTTTCTTTTTCTTTTTTTCAGTTGGACAGTTTTCGTTGCCAGATTGTTTTGTTTGAGAAAGTGTCAGGCTGGAGAGAAGAAAACTGTAATCTAGCCTAAGCATGTAAAGGTTAGGCCTTCCTAGGGAGCCTAGGCCACAGCCGTAATGGCTATAGATCTTTTATCATGATCGGCCATATCTATTCCGTTTACGTAAAGGCAATTCCATAGAAGGGCTAAATGGTCATCGCATCGGTTACCAGTTTCGAAATCCCGTTCCCATATTGATTGCGACCCTGTCCCCGTATTAATTGTGACCCTGTCCCCGTATTAATTGTGACCCCGTCGCGTCTGGCATATCCAGAGTATTCATGTAGGACTATGAATGAATTCTGATGGAGAAACGGGATGATTACGATGCAGCAGAGAACGTCTTTACGATCTGAGGATACGCGCTCCCGCCCCACCCCATCGATATGGGTTCCCGCCGCTTTCACCGCCAGGAATCTCTCCCTCTTGCAGTAGTGAGGGAGAGATTAAAAAAACGGGACTAAGTGTTACATGCAGGGAGGTGTATAACGTCTAGACGATTGCTGTGTACACAGTGTGCATGTCCCCCTATGTAGGGGGGGGGGGTGCAAGAGCTACAATAGCCTCAAGAGCAACACATCTCCCTCTTTGATAGTATTAGCATACAAGCCCTTACAAAACTAATGTGCATTCCGTTTGCTTTGAATTATTCATCTAATTTTTCCATAGATTTAGCAGGAATTGTCATCACTGGAACATAAGCAGAGGTTAGAGTTCTTGAAGTCAGTCAAATCAGAGGTCCTTATCCACCCATGGCCTTTTTCTGTTTTTATCATTTAAGCTAGCTTCTTTCCCTTTGCTCCTGATGGTTTTTATTATTTCTGCCTTCTCTCCTATTCTTGTTACTCCTACTTTTGGTGAATACCTTCATGGACCTCATGAGGTGAAAACTTGAGCCTTTGATAGAACTCGGCCACCTGACAAATCTGACAAAAGTTATTTAGGATGTGTCTGACATTCACATCTCTGTCACTCTGAGTATTAGCATCAAGGATGGTTATTGTTGATGGAAAACATTCTCCTGATTCTGCATTGAGCTTCAATTTGAGGTTGAGGATTGTGAAAGTCTATAGCTTATTGAACTGGACTTATTGAAACTGCAAATTCTGAATTGATCTGGGCAAATTGGTCATCAGCAATGCAATTTGGATCATTACCTGTTTTTGTATCCTCTTGGGATGTCCTTGTTGGGGGTGAGACAAGAATACTACTTATATATTATTGCTAATGCATGGATGGCTAAAGAGATTTTGGCATAACTCAATTAACTGGTTTAATGGCTTGTCTGCTGATATTGATGCATCGAGGAACTGGGCAGTGACATGGTGAACCATACCTTATGGTATGGTATTTACATTTTGTTTTTTACTAAGAAATACTGGAAACTAGACTGGTTTTGGCTCATAGTCCTGTCAAAGAGCTTGGGGATTGTCTTTGAATAGACCTGTAGGCTAGCGAGAATCCAATGCATTAGTATGAACAATGATCTACAACACTGAGACTTTAAGATGTAGTCATTTTCCATGCTTATTGAGCAATTAGCAGATGTGTAGGACAGGATGAAAGAATTCCAGTGTGCTTATCTACAAAAGCCATATTTTATAGGTATACACTACTTTTCTTTTTAACCCTTTGAAGAGTAAGCCCATAAATTTATGGGCTGATGCCATCCTCCTCTCCATATATATACTACAGGTAATCTTGCAGTAGTTAATAAAATACCCACTCCTCAAAGGGTTAAGGCAAATTTATGTTTCAATATTTTCCATATATCAACTATTCCAGTGATAGGTTCTAATGATAATCCATTTAGGTTGTCAATGGAGCCAACTCAGGTGGAGGGTGAAGAGACCACTATTGATATTTGCACATTGCCAAATTGGAGTGCCTTGTACCTGGAAGCAACCCAAAATGGTGCTATGTCCTCTGAGAAGATTTTTGACAGTTCACCCTTCCCTATATCTCATGAGCTCAACAAAAAGATTTCTCTTTGGTGAGTGATCCTTGTGGCAATAAATTACAATGATGATTTTTGGGGAATTTAGATATGTATGTATGTCATTTGTTGATGATTGATTCATCTATCTTGATGTGTGCGGTCTTTTTTTGCTTGTATTTTTCACTCAGTAGTTAGGGTCTTTGCATTAAAGATGCCATTTCAATTAGATTATTCACTGTTTTAATTGCCATGAAAGCATTTTGATGAATAGTCTATAAATAGCTTTCAAGTCTTTTCAAGCCTCTCCTCTAATGGATACTACATTAGTGCATTTGATATTCATTGTCAGCATCAAAATCAGCAGCAAAAATTGGAACTAAAGATCAATTAAGCATTGTTAAATAATGTGGCAGTAACTTCAATTACTTCATGTTATTTCATTAAGTAACTCCTCAAATGCTTTCCATGTCTCTGATCAAATGGTCTTCACCAGATGGTATAGATACCAGATTGCAGGAAAAAATTCCCTGCTTTGAAAGGCTGCAGATTGAGATATTGGCAGGAAATTAACAGGTTTAATAACCAACATGTGAAAATAATTTAAAGAAAGTGTCTGTAATATTGGTAGTAATCTATGTAAGAACTGTTTTCCTTGTGATGTTACATGAGTGAGTGTGTTGACATTCTTGACCAGGCTGCTTTCTCTGCACACAATGATTTGATTAATCTTATTTCTGAACAGGTAGGCTCAGGGAGACCTCTTCATTCAGTTAACATTGTAATGTGTGATTCGTGTAACTGCTTGTTGTGCAAGTTTTTGCCAAATGTGTGCAAAAAAGGCATGATTGTGTACTTCATGAAATAAGCAAAAATGTTGCCTATTGTGCACATTTTGCTCACTTTTTTCATGCAATAAGCAAGTGGAGTTCCAAGGAGGAAGTTTTTCAAATCAACAAGATGTACCCATTCTTCTCTCCTGTAAGACCTATGGTTCTCCCTCTGATAGTGGCATAGTTGCCACATGGATGCTGGGCAGGGGTTTGAACAGCTCATGAGCATAATGTGATGGCCAGGCAACTGCCTCCCCCCTTATGATGAGCAATGATGAACCTATCTCAATGTTACTCTCCATGTCATTGAGTATGATCAAGACTGAACTATTCCCCAAAACGTAATTAGATTGGTTTTGGAAAGGAAGGATGGAAGCACAAGATCAGAGCTAGAGATGGGACAATCAATATCTGTATGAAAAGGAATGTGGTGGAATCGTAAAAGTGAAGATCATAAAAATACAAGGCATCAACACCTAGGAGAAGCCATTGCAAAATCTTTACTGCCATCTCAATAGGTGGGAGGCAGGGCTTAAAAAAATGCTAATGTAAACCCAGGGGCCAAACCTCAACCCAAAGAAGGAATTAGATGTGACAGTTTGTGTCATTCTGGTAATACCTGTCTGAATCACCACTGAATATTGTTTGGTTGATGATGCCGTCAAATGGCCTTATGACGTGGCCGCATTCTTGTCTCATGTTTTCAATGTAATCGACAGCTTATGAAATCAATTTAGTGATTGCTCAAGGTGTGCAATTGGCAGCTTTTTTTTGCTTATTGCATGCATTTTGCAAGAAAATTGCTCATTCCATACAATGAGTACAATGGTTGCATTTTTCATGAAATAGGCACAAACATTGAGCAATGTGCGCAATATGCAGTTGCACGAATCACACATAACAACATCACAGACTGAGAAAGCTTTTATTTGGGTTTGCCATGTCTTTTTGAAATATGAAACTACCGACAAATGTTGTATGCAGACATGTAAAGTGGAATCCTTTCCTTTTTGGCCACCTTGTACTATGTATCACCAGGAAGCATATATTAAGCCAATCTTACTGAAAGGAGTCAACCTTGAATCTACAGTGCTATGTAATATGATAGTTTGTTTTCAAATTATGTAGGATCTATCATGTCGGTCTCAAATTTCTCTTGAAAAAATACAGGATAATTACAGAAAAAGTTTTCCACTTTGGAGTGCTATTTTGCTGAAACTATAAGATGTAGGAAAGCTGTAGTATCAGGCCTCTCAACACTCCTGTCAACTTCATGACTCATGTTCGTCTGCATACCAGTATCAGCAGTATGTTAAAACTATTTTTCATTTGGCATTTCTCGGTCTTATGCAAACTTTGCAAGGGTGTTATCCTTGTAGCAAGATTTGCTTTGTGCTTGAATTTGTACTCCACGTGCCACTTGTCATGTGTATGTGATGGCATCTTTGCCACCAACCTAATAGTTTTGGCATAAAAGTGCCACAAAGTGGGAAACTCACTTAACCCTTCAAGTAATGAGTTTTGGAGTGATAGTTTGAACCTCACTGCAGTATTTTCTGCAGGCAGTATGAAGTACCATGAAATTCTCAATAGATGGCAGTAGAATTTTAATTTTATATCTTGTATTGATCATGCATTTGCAGCAGCTGCAGCAATGAGTGGGAAATTGAAAACACATGTGCATGTGAATAGCAGTGAGAGCATTTCTTTTGCTGAATCATTAACATGCCAGTGGCAGTCAATGGATTGATAATCACCCTGTATATGTGATGCTGCTTTTCAAGTGAGGAATTTCTGTGTCTTGTTTACTGTGATGTGTACAAGTTTCAAAGGAAAAAGAATCATGGCTGGAGAGTTTGACGAATCCCTTATTTCAGGGGAATTTACTCTGCAAAAGTAAAAACACACTACAAATTTTGCAAGTGTGCCATGCTGACAGGCTTTAGTTGGGCCCCTGATACCATCCTCCCCTCCCCTCCCTCCCAAGGGATTATGCTTGAATCTATGACCCTCAAGGTCAGCATGAATGGATGCATTACCTCCAATCCAGCTGATCCCTCATCAGCATGTTAACTACCACGTCCTTTTCATGGCTTAGGATGCACCAGAGCATACAATCCTCTGCATCCTTTTAGGCAATAAACATGTTAATGTAGGACCAGTATCACCAGAGGGAGGCAAAAGGCAGCAGGAAAGAACTATTAGGGTAATTAGGGGAAGAAAAGAGTCACCCACAGCAGAAGAGGAGAGTTCCACTACCAATCATCATCCCCTGGACACAAGCCCCTGTGCTGCAGAGGTCTCTACTGTTATGCTGCCTGCAGTTCTGGCATGCCTGATTCAATAATATTCTGTGGGGACCACTTCTTAACCCTTTGTGATCCACTGTTGGACATGGTACAGCAATCTCCATAGTGTTACAAATAAAATGGATCACAAAGGGTTAGTTTTTTGCACATTTGACAACATCCATTTTTGGTCAATAACATCAAAAAGGGGTCTAGATTCTGATTTCAATGCCAAAAATTGATGTATGACAATCTCTTTGGATTTGATTTTTGTTGCAGGTGTGGAGATATATCTGCTGTGAATGCACATGTCATTGTGCACCCCACAAATGAGACCTTGAGTGATGCCAATGAAATCAGCATTCGGATATTCAATAGGGCTGGTCCAGGACTTCAAAAGGAACTTCTGTCTATCAAAAGTATGGATTGTAAAGTGTGTTTCAAACAAGGCAAATACATTGTCCAAAATTCAACATATCAGGAATTGTCTCTACCCCTGGAATAAAACATCTCAGGTTAAGGGATATAGCCAGAGGATGACTTTTCTATCCTTAAGGATTCAATTTCAAGAAGTGATGACCTTTTCACCATCATTGGCTTTTATTCTTCTGTACAAAAACTTTGAAATTCTTTATACAAAATTCACTTATCACAACACCCTTCTTCCAGTATTCTATCAGTTTTATCAGTCTTTCTGCTTCAGCTGACCTTCAACAGTCTGAATCAAGTCCACCAAATGGAGCATCAGGGTCTTTAGTTTCCTGTTGAGTGAACTCATTGTAACACCAATGGTGTATAGGTAAAAGAATATGACTGGAAAGGCATCTAGTGAGAGCAATAGATATACATATACAGGGAGAGTTTGCCTCTTTCTATGGCAGAAACTTTTTGGTTTTAATCCCCAGGTTTAATACTCTCCACAGGCATCAGTGGGGGAGGATGGAGAAGCAGTAAAAAAAACAATAAAGAACTTTCTCCTAAACAAGTTTCTTGGCTATCACCCTATTCCAAAAATTTGATAGGTCCCACTAAATTTTTTCCTCTTGCACACCCCAAATTCTAGCTAACATTGAGTTAACCATGAGAAAATCATAATTGGGAATAGAAATATAGTTAGAGATATCCAGGAATTCAAGATTAGTAAATTTAAGTCAAGTGGAATATTTAACATGATGTCTTATGGGATTCTGCTGGGAGCAAGCATTGAACTTCAAGATAAGTGGAAGTTCGACTTATCAGGATTCAAGTTAACGAGTTTCCACTGTATAATTGGATTTTCTTGGCTGAATTTTAATCTGTCAATCATTCTTGATCATTTGTTTTGCTTCTTATCCCCATGGTTTGATGAGCAAATTGAAAATATATGGCTTCTTGTCATGTTGACCTCTACATAGATCAACATAAACCATCGTTGATTTTTTGCACGTCTCTGGCTTTTCATTTGATTTATCAGGCTAGGGTTAGTTTGTGCATACACAGTTGGTGCATCTGATTGCATTTTGAGCTCTGTCTATACATACAAAGCTTGTCACTGTCTTGATTTCACTAGTTAACTCTCATTACTGATGTTGGAATTGGTGCTACGTTCAACAGGCTGTCGAACGGGGGACTGTGTCTTGACAGATGGGTTTGGCCTCCCCAGCCGATATGTGATCCACACGGTGGGGCCAAGGTGGAATACCAAGTATGAGAGTGCAGCAGAAACTGCTCTCCATTCATGCTACAGGAAGGCTCTGGAGATTGTTCGAGAGAGACGATTCCCTTCTGTTGCATTCCCTCTTGTTCATTCCTGCAAGAAGGGCTTCCCTGTTGACCGAGGTGCCCATATTGCCATTCGTGAGTCTTCCATGCTCATATTCCAGGAAAATCTGGGGAAGGGAATGGTAATTTAAAATCTGAATGGAGTAACATTAAACTTCACATTGCCTTGAAGTACCTCCATTGTAGCCATTTCTCATACAGTACTATTAGGGTAAACTGACTGTTAGTTGTGAAAATATTAATCTCTTTACCTTACCAGATAGTAGATCGATTACATCATGTGTGTCCTTGTTAATGCCTTGAGACTAACTCTCCATCAAGGCAGACACTGATTTTGAAATTGCATATAGCAGGCATGTGAGAAGGAATCAGTGAAAGTATACCTGGAGTCACAATATTGTACCCCAACTAGGAAGCATTGTGTACCCTGTGTCACATTGTGCAACCCTTCAGTTGCAGCTTTTTAAATTCCCTGACAACTCTCTCTAGATATTAATTTTGGCAAGTCTGAGTCAGTTTCTTTTCCACACCTGTAGAAGATGCAAATAAAATGGGATGCTTCATCCTTATTTGCAAATCTCATGCATTCCAAGTTATGCATCTTGATAAGTGTGCTGGACATTCAACACTACTCTCCAAGAAGACCTGGCAGAATTTCTCAGAGTATTAATTATACAAACTTTAATTACAGTTTTTGGTTCATCAGTTTGTCAGATTTTCTAGTTTGTTAATTAGATGAAAACATTGTCCCTTCAGCAAAAGCTTTCACTATCAGCTGCAAAAGCTTTCACTATCAGATATTTTACAAATTAAAAAAAATTCAGAACAACTAAGTTTTTTTAGATTTTATTTTCAAGTTTTTAATGTCTTCTTCTGCATCTTATTAGACAGTAAACATGTACAGGGTGGTGCATAAATACCTCCTGGGTTGTAAGAGGAAATACAAGACTCAGGGCAAATGACTTTGTTCTGATATCTATTCCCACGGCAGCCTGGGAATGTGGAAATTATAGGATGATCACAAAGACAGGTCACTTGTGAAAAATTACATCACTCAGGTGGTTGCCATTGTGCTCGACACATTTTTGCGCCTGGTCCACTACATTGTGCATGACGTGCTGCAACATCGTGATGGGTACAGTGGCTACTTCTTCCCGAATGTGACTTTCCAAAGCCTCCAATGTTGCTGGACGTGTGTTGTACACCTTGCTCTTCAGATACCTCCAAAGAAAAAAATCAGGAGCTGTTAGGTCTGGCAAACTGCGATGGCCAACAAAGATCCCCATATCTGGATATCACACGCACAGGAAACATTTTGCAGAGGACGCTCATGCTCATCCAGGCTGTGTAGGCAGTTGCCCCATCCTGCTGGAACCGCATTCCAGGAGGAAGACCACATCGACGCATCTCCACGTCCAAGAATGACTGCAGCATTTGGATGTATTGGGCAGCATTAATGGTGATCATGTCGCCATCATTGTCCTTGAAATAGTATGGGCCAATCATGCCATATGTACACACAGCACACCTCACAGTTTCTTGCTGTGTAATGGCCGCTCATGGAGTAAGTGCAGATTTTCTGCTGCCCAATATTGGCAGTTTTACTTGTTTACATGGCCACTGAGCTCAAAGTGTGCCTCATCACTCATGAGCAGCATCTCTGGAATTTGCGGATCGCCCTGCACCATGTGGAGGAATTCTGTGTAAAACTGTACACGTGTATGCTATCATAATCCCAGAGTGCCTGCACAACTTGCAGTTTGTAGGGGTGTAGATACAGTTGCTTGTGGAGGATCTGTATGACCGATGTCCGCTCCACTCCGACTGCCTGGGCCAACCGACGCATTGATCTCTGGGGACTGCACTGGACTGCTGGCAGCACCTTTGCCGCTGCCACCGCTGTACAGACTGAACTTGGACACCCAGGTGGTGGCATATCACAGACTGAGCCAGTCTCACGCCATTTAGACCCAGACTGTGATGGTCTTGTGAGAAGGGGCATCACGCCAGTTGAGTTCACGTTTGAATGCCCACTGGGTTGTCACAATTGACTTAGTTTGGATAAAGAGTTCTACTGCCTTCACATGCTCCTTCATGGACCAACGCTCCATTGCTGAATAATCTCCAGAGTGATGCATTTAATTAGAGAGAGTGCACTTCAGGGAAATATATTGCAGACTGCCATAGCAGGAAGGGCAAATCAGAGAGGTATTTATGCACTACCCTGTATATGATTTAAAAAAAAATAGATGTCTTCATCTTCCAGCTATGCCTATTGCAAACAAGGGAAAATCCTTTAGACTTGAATAGGACTGTCTCCATTTGATGGCTGCTATGATACCATGTAGTTTTATGATTTTCCTAACCTTGAACTTTAGCATGAGTTTAATGAAAAAATAAGAATATTCCAGTATGTTTGTATTGAACATCTGTTGAGTGTTGAAGATTCATGGGCAAATGTATTTCCTTAATTGGTCCTTGAGTTGTTGATGACAGTGAATGTATTAAGAGATCAGCTCTTCTTTGAACAAGTTCTGACCCAAGTATGTTCTGTCCTTTAGACTTGTCCCCAAATATTGAAAGCATACCTTCTCATTTCAGGCTGATGCTTAAAATCCATGGTCCCACTATGTTGCAAATCTCAAACTTCTCCAGAGCCTTCTTTTCTTCTGTAAAGCATTGTTATTTCCATTTTTAGCATGAAGGCAATGGAACCACTGGCTTACCATTTCTGAATGCTGTAAGGAATTATATGCTGCTTTAAAGCATCGAATGCAGACTCCCTATGATCATTTCTCCCATATTCATTCCTCTGGAAGTTAATTGTGCTCAATTTCCTCACTTATGCATTGAATGCTCCTAGAGGACAGACATTATGAAATGATGTGACTTAGGGTATAATGAGAGTCAAGGTCAGTTTATCCGGCTATGTTATTGTCATTTCTCTTTTAACATGCCATTTCAGTACCAGTATTTTGGTATGACTTTCCTCTTGTAAATCCCTTTTTTTCAGTTTTTTAATTCCCTTGGTAGTCTTCAGGAAAAGAAACTTGATGTCATTGCTTTGGCTAGCTATGTAATTCCAGGAAGCATTTTCTAATATATGAGGTCTGGCAATAAAGTTCCAGGACTGATTTTTTTGTGAGTCTGTCAATATCACAAAAATTATTTTCATTCCATGGACTGATAGATTAGACTGATGGGCAGTGCCGTATCATTCCTCATCTAACTAGCATCTTGAATGATAATTTGGCTGGCAATTTAACAACTCAATGTGTAAGGTGTCTGTCATATTCCAAGAGTGAAGCAATGCTTCATCACATTTTGTCTCAATCTGGGAATACAGCTCCAGCAATGCATCAAATGTTTCAAGAAGTGTCTTGACAAGTTGTCTTGTCATATTCCAAGAATCTTGAATAGTTTTCAAGGCTTTAAGCCAGTCGAAATGACATTGAAAATAATGACTGATTCAGCCATCCCTTGGGTGAATGGTTGGGGTTGAGGTGGATCTGAGTGTCTTCACTACTTGCTAAAGGCCTTGAAGGTCATTCAAAAATTATTGGAGCATAACAGGGAACTTTTCAAGGCACTTCAGCAACGTTTCATGGATTACTGCAGCTGTATTGATCAGTTTGAGACAAAATGTGATGAAGCATTGCTTCACTCTGGGAATATGACAGATGCCTTGCACACTGAGCTGCTACATTGCCAGCCAAACTCTCATTTAAGATGCTAGTCAGATGAGGGCTGACACAACACTGCCCAACAGTCCATGGAATGAAATTAATTTTTGTGATATTGACAGACTCAAAAAAATCAGCCCTGGAACTTTATTGCCAGACCTTGTATATAGATGATCATGACTGAATGACTGACTGACGTTAATTCTAACCATGAAATCTGAAACTTAGTACACAAGTAGCTTTTGGGATGCAGAGTTCAGAAAAAATCTGACATTGAATGTAAAAGCCCTGGGGGTCCACATTTTGGGGGGGTAGATATTTTCAAATAAATATTTTGTTTCAGTCAAATGGAGAGACATGGAAAGGTGAAACTTGACTTGAACCTGCCTGTTAAGACACAGAGTTCAAGAAAAGTATCAAGAGATGCATCCCCTGGGAGCATATTTTTTTGGGTAACTTTTCGGAATAATTTTTTTTTGTCCTAGCAAATTGGGCTGAGATAGAAAGGTGAAACTTGACGCTCGCTTGACTGACATTATGTTGAGTTCAGTTTTAGGAAATTTTATATTTTTAAGGTACATCAACACAGGGATCTTAATTTTTAAACACAGGTATTCCTGAAAATTTTCGCTATCACAAAACAGGGGGAAAAAAATGACACTTAGGCACCAGGTTATCTGGCTAGATGTATATCTGGAAAAGAAAAGCTCTTCTTTGGGGATATTCCCATTCATGGCATACTTTTGGGGAGAGATTTTCCATGAAATTTATTTCTTCAGTAATGAGGCAGATACAGATAACAAAAATCCCGTTAAGATTATCTATAAAGGATTATTCAAAGGAAATTTTGGCTTTTTAATTATATTTCAATGTGGAATAAATATTTTTACACAGGACGTTTCCAGGAAATGTTTACCTTTAAATGATGCAAGCAGGTATAGATAATTAAAATACTGTACAGATTACTGTCCCTCTCAGTACGACTGTTTCAATCAGCCAAAGATCTCCATTTGTTAGTTTACTGAAGATGTCACATAACAGGAAGTAACTTGACAGAGTAATAAATATGTCTATGACCCCAGGAGTTTACCTGATAGGTAAAAACTGATCTTTCAAATGAAACAATTTTATCCTATATGATTGAGCGCCAAAGGTGCTAGTGTTATATAAAACTATTTATTTATACAAGGATTCTGGAACTCTGAGATTAACAAATTAAATCAAGTGAGTTGCCAGGCCTGATGCTAAACCTGAAGTGCTATAGTGTGTTAAAATACTAGGATGAATCGGCTTTTCAGGGACAGTGAGGCGATTCCTGGAGCGATATGGGGATTCCATAGAGATGTGCATCCTGGTGATGGAGAGTTGTGAGGAGCACCGTATCTATGAAGTCATCCTTCCGCTTTACTTCCCCCGGTCCCAGAAGGAAGAACTACAGGCTTCTTACCTTTTGCCGAAAGACATTGGGGATGCTATGGGTGAACCCTTCATCCAAGACCGATGTATTCGCATCCAGGACAACCCTCAGCACTTCAGTAGGCCTCTCAATTTTATTTTCTGGAATGGTTAAGGAAGAAATCAGTCATTGTAGCCTGGAATCATTACCCATTAAGCAGTCAAACACTCATATCAGTGACCAGACTAGTGTAGTGTCAATTAAAGGAAGTGTTGATATTCTAGTTTGCTAATTGAAAGATCCCGAAAGATCCCATTCCATGTAGATTGACTTGACAGTGTTAAGGTTCATACAGAGAGTGAAAAAGTCAATCATTACCTCTCACTATAACATATATATAAAATAAATCCTTCCACGGCACCTGCCGGTATTGGATATATGAGGGGGGATGAACCACATCCCAGACCTCATACTCGCCTAATTCTGAAGGACACGGCGAAGAATGCTGGCCGTGCCCAAGATTGCTGTACGCTGGAGGATATCGAG